CATTTTGCTTCCGAGAAACATGCAAAACGGGACGGAAAACATGAAATTTTGCAATAATCTTACGCCACCTTTGCACAAAACGACGATAATTTTTCTAATTTCATGGACAAAAGAAGACTGGATGCAGTGAGACTGTCCAAAACTACCTTTTACCAAAGGGGGTTTCATCAGAAATTTCTGTCCTTAAGAAAGTTACAAGCAAAAAGCGTCCGCATTAGGCAATCAATCTAATCACATCGGCAGACTAAGATAGAGCTAATTAATTCAGGACAGGTGAGTGCCTGTGTCCACCACCGATTCATCATGCATCTCTTCTTCTTATTACCGTATGTAAATTGCTAGGCGGATTAAACTCGCACAGATTTACAAGGTAATAAATTAAAATGTCCGCATTTATCGGGATGGGAAACTGCCGCCCATCCCGTCCTGTCAATGGCTTAACTAATTAGTCTTCGTGATAAAAGTAGAAAATAGAAAAATCTAGAACGATGAATAGTAAAAGCTATTGAATTTTTTAGGGATGCTCATGGGGATAGTGGCAGTGGTTGGTCGCTTCAATCGAGCTCTTGCCACCGGTGGATTCTGGCAAGTCCTCGACCTCGTAGACATCAAGATCATCCAAAGGCGAACAGGATGACCATCTCAGGTGAGTGGACAATTTGCCTAGTGCTGAGGCGGTTTAGAAATTTTTAAAAATTCACATTTTTGCAATTAAATTCTAACCAATCCATAGCAAGGAAGTTCAAATTTGCTTAACAATTGTTCGCTCTAACCGGTATTTTTAGTTTAAAAATTCACATGAAAAATCAACCTGATCTCTGATTGGCTTGAAATTCACACTATATGAAAGGTTAAGTGTTTTCTATGATCGGGCGAATTAGCAGGTTTCTAGTTGATCTGGCGTGGACATAACGAATTTTTAAATGTGAGTCAACAGTGGCTTTTCAGCGAAAGAAGTTTTCAGTCGCTTTGCAAGTTTGAAAATTGATGGAAATTCTACTTGATCCCTGACTAGCTGGAAGATTGCACAGTTTCAAAAGTGAAGTGTCTTTTATAATCGGGCGAAATTGTGAGTTTCTGCTAGTCCTGGCGTGGACGAAGTAAATTTTTGAAAGTCAATACACAGACGGAAAAGGGCTCTTTTCTATTGGAACACCGTATATTTTCTTTTACCTATTGCCCATTTCTTGTGTAAATTTCAATCACTTTTCCTTATGTAAAACATTCATGAAAATTGCATGGTTTTTCTACATGTGTGTTTGGTTTTAACGGTGGAAGTTCGATGTTCTTTGCGGTGATAAATCGAAAAATTGCCCGTCGTTTTTAGAAAAAACTATTTGAAATTTGGGACAAGGATAAGAAAACCTTTCGTTTTGGCTAAATATTTCCTGCAAGTACAGAAGAAATCAAAAATAAAATATAGTGTGTTCCGTGAGAGGAAAAGTGGTTTTCTGTCCTGCAACTGTTCAGACTTTTGTTGGCTTAAACCGACTCTGTCGGTGAGCCACCCACATTTAGGCACATTTAGCCACAAAAGCTCTCTTATCATATTTGAAGAATGTACAAAGTTCACGATAATTTCCGCATGAGAAGTGTTCGCTGTTCGCAAGAGAATAACTTCTTTAAACTCTTCTAACATGTCTCTTTCCACATGACCAGGGATCATTACGGACCACAACGCAATTTGCGCTCGATTAATTTTACCGTTCATCTTCTATCGAAGATCACCAGACAATATTTCAATATTTGCTCGGGATACTTGTGACGATAACGAAGCCCGAACGGGTGAGATAAACCATGATCTATCAGTGCGGGTACCACACATTCAAACGTATGTCCGCTTTAAAAATGGGTGAATGAAGACGAAGATGGAGATGAAGACACACTGAGACTCATCAATATGATAGTTTTCACAGTAAAGTGCTTGAATCCATTGTTATGCAAACGTCCTTGCAGTTGCGTTCATAGATTCAGTAGATCACGGTCGTTCCTAGAGGTGCACAAGATCACGCCAGCTGCGTACCAGAACCCAAAGCACCATTCGATTGTCGGTTGTTTTTTTCGACGGTCACGTTTTCGAGCAGCTCCGTGAAAATTCATGCGTTTCATTCATAACAGCGGGCCTGTGACGAGTGGTGTGTGGTGTATTTCCTCGGGGTGGCCGTCCAGTCTACCTGATTTAGTTGCTCGGGACCGAAGTTTGCGCGTCTGCAGAGAGCCAGTGGGTGAAAAACTATGTGCCACTATTTGTCGTGCTGTTTGGTATTGAATTGCCGCTAAATGTTTCAAGTTTTAGAAAGTTTCTAGTCCGGGAAGCTGCGCTTCCTCCATTCCAGACAATACTGTCGACGATTTATTTCCCCACACCCTGTATTATGTGCAAATAAGTTCGTTCCATATCATAAATAAACTTTTTAACCTTTGCCAATACATTAAATCAACAGCCTCGCTTCGTGCACACTATTTATAAAGACTTACGTTGGTTCTCGTTTGAATATTAATTAATAAACCATTCCGAAGATGGATGAGCGATTTGTTATTGTTAATTGGCCAGTCGATCGCTGCAGCTCATTTAGACCTTGATTGGTGAGAACCAGAATGTTTTGCAAACTTTTTTCAAATACGGCCACGTCGTTCCGAGTTTACAGGATGAGCAATTTTCCGTTACATTTGACAAATAAACCTCTGCAAACTCTTTAAAGTGGAAGTTGCTGCTGGGAAATTAACCAGGCAACAGTGTTTTCATGCTCCCAGAGTCGTCCCGATAATTTTTTGCAGTTTTTTGCGACATTTTCCCGCTTCACTACTCATGTGGAAGTTGCGTTGAAACATTCGGGCACGGCACTGGAAGGGAACAACAAATGCAAGTCCAGCTGGCAACCGTGTTTTTTCTGATATTAGGGAGTTTTTAGGCCCCTTAATTGCAACCCTTTACGTTATCGGTTATTCTGAGCATGCGCATTAGTAAATAAATAACCGTTTACGCTATTAGAGGATAACGTGTTCCTTTATTTACGCACTAGTAGCAGTGACGTGAATAAGCATCACAAAAAAGCTCCCTGATCATTTCGGTGCAGAAATGCAGCTCGAACGTTTTCTTCCATCTTAGCCACTATCTCAAGTTCCTATCTCCTTCTAGAAGCTCCTATCTCAAACGAGCCAAACATGCCCGCTCTTCCAGAGTTTTATTGCAGAAACTCGAACAAATCACTTCTCCAAATGTTTTGGGGGATTTTGAGTGATTACTGTTTGCAACAGTTACTGCTCGAAACACTTCTTCTGCAATAGCTGCAACCAATATGGCACAGCAGCAGTAGCAGCAGAAAAATATCTTTTTGAGTTTAAAGCCGGAAAGTGTAATGCGGGATAAACGGTTATTTTTCTGTAACAAGGTTACAACGTTCCAGTTTCACGTTGGTAATAGGTTTCAAAATGCGGTTCCAAAGGGAACATGTTACTTTTAAAAATGTTCATTAAACATGTTTTATAAAATATTGCAAACCATTTCCCAAGAAGGGGTTTTTTGAGTCAGTTTGCTTGCCTTCTAGTTTTTTTTTCCATAAGCAAAGCAGTTGATCAATTAAAAATTCGGTCAGATAACATTGTGTATGCACCAACTAGCGCAAAGGTAATCGGCCTTTTCCAAGTGGCCAAATTCCACGGAAAAAAACATTTTTGAACTTTTTAATCGAGTCTTTTTAGCATCTTGAGTCAAGTGGGTTCTTGAACGTTTTGCTATCTCCCACCTCGCCTAATAACGTTAAATCAATGAATTTTATTGGCAAATTAGGTGGGCGACAACAAATATATCAACAGGGCAACCGGCAAATGTGGCACGCCCGATTTTCAGAAATCCGTAAATATTCTTTTCAGGCCTTGTGTTCGATGTGTGTTTCGTGCTAATCTTATCTGAGTACGCGAGTGATCAATGCAAAGCTGCCAAGTAGTGAAAGTGTGGTGATGTGAAATGGATTAGGATTACTTGAACCAGCCAGCATGGGAAAAGGTGCCAGTAAACTGAAAAAACGCGCAAGTGTTCACAGTAAGTTCTATTTGCTATGAATATCCGCATATTGATGGGTTTTGCGCACGAACTCCTTAAAAGATTCACTCACATGGAAGATGCAAACATGCCATCATGAACGACACTGATTATCGATTTTATTCCTTGCCGGATTGAAGGTTTTTATCTGGTTGCGTTGCACACACTCAAGATAAGCTGTCCTCTTCAAGATAATGCCGCTTGAGTGCTTTAGTGACATAAATTCGTTTTTTCCAACTAACATTCCTAAACAGTTCTATGAGGAAATGCAGGTTGCAATAACACGCCAACATCTGGCTTTAAGTGGCCGTTTCGGTAATCTGATCGCTCCGATTCCTTCTGGACGTTCGAAAGTTTTTTTATGAAGTTTGCATAAGTGCAACGCTGATGTGTTGAAAATCCACAAACTTTTCTTGCACTACGACTGCTATATCATCCGCATGCGACCCTAACGAATTGGAACGACCCGCTTGCTTGCGCTCGTCATTTTTTCAGCTAAAATGGCCCAGACCTTTCGATTACCTTTGGAAAGGGTTGTCAAAAATGCAGGTGAAACGTCTTCCAGTGTTAAGAACTGCTAAGTTTAAAACAATCATTCTTGCCGGATCAGCAATTTGCGGTAAATAACAATTGCAAGCCATGCTGTTGCTACTTTTGCTTAATCAGCAACAGCTCGGCATTTGTAATGTTTATAATTGCGATAACGAGTTCACGATTGTGCGGTTTATTACGGCACTTAGGGATTTATTTGGTAAAATGATCATTAGCTCGCATCAATGATCGCTGTTTAATGATTCCCATTCTATCGTTCAGATTATTATTTATGTGTTGTAAATCGTTCGACGGATTTCATTAATGATGGTCGCAAGGAGCTTATCTTACAACTTAAATACAACCGGGAAGCGAAGATAAAACAAAACGCGCAAAAATCAGTTTTACTGCGATTTGAAGAGTGATCGGGTGCACAAGTTTCCAGTTTGTATCTGCTTTGAATGGGGTTTGAAGTGCACAAACATAAGCCTTTCGCGGGATTCCAATAATTCTCAGAATTGGGCGCACTGCATATCTAATTTTTTCAAGTTTCAAAAAATTTTCAAGTCGTTACCAGGTGTGGGTCGAAAGTTACGAATTTTCAATTGAGAGCGTCGCAGATGAGGCGAAACCTCATTTTTGTACCGTCGTTTACAAAGCGCGCAAAAATAAGGTTCCGGTGTGACTTGAGCTAAATTTCGGGACAGGACAGTGGGGATGTTTCCATTTTCTATCTGCTTTGGATGGAAAGTTAGGATTTTCTGAAAGAGCGCGCAATTTCGAAAATTTCTTACTCCTTTTTTGACAAAACGCTAAAAAATCAGGCTTTAACGCTAGTCGGGATTGAAAGGAGAACAATTTTTAATGGGGCGCGTGCAGTTTTAGTTTTAGATTAGGTATACATTGACATTCATGGCAACAGTGTGCAGATTTTGCGTCACGAAAAGTGTGACAAATCCTTCCTCAAAGAGAACAACAATTATTTCCCGAGTTAGGATTATAATATTTTATTGCGACTCTTTGCGCAAGCAGCCACTATCTAAATGTTCAAACATCCTTATCTAGTATGCAGATCTGTATCGTTAAATTTTACCAAATTGAATAAGAAATAAGTGGAGATTTTTTCTGTGTCGCAATTTTTTCTGTGTAGATGAAATGGAAGGTTCAGCCATGTCCTCAAGCTAATATCGAATGCCATCTTGCAAGAGAAGATTACGGGATATGTTAATACCATCAAACCAATTTGCCAATCAGCGTTAAATGGACTGAAAGTCATTAATTGAGCAGCAATAACGAAGGCATTTAACTGGTTTTTCAAGCGACTGTTCTGTTTCTCCCATTAAAATGCATAACGCGGCGTGAATTACACAATCTGACACTGAAAACGTAAAAACAACTACCGCACTGGCGGTTATATTTCATCGTTACGACTAAAATCTGAATTTACTTAATAATAACTGACAACGTGTTTAAGTCAAAAGAGATAGACTTTCGAGGCCATTCCTTGAAACTAATGGGTTTTCGGGTTTTAAAAATGGACTTGAAAGTGTATCTCTTTTGATTTTCGAAAAGACGATTTGACGAAAGTCGCTTTTAGGCAAGACAAACTGTTACTCGCAACTTAAACACTGTTAGGGTAGTTTGGCGACGGCCGTCTCAATCGCAAGGCACTCCCCTATAGCTGTCCTTGTCAGTGCATTTGAGCAGTGCAATAAACAGAGCGCGGAATGTTTATCGCTCCCTCTGCGTTACTTACAGTACAAACTATGCCTGTTCTTGTCTGTCACATTGCATTTACGCGCAACAGTTTGGAAAGGGCAGTGACAAACTGCCCCAGATTATTCAAGTTTTTTCAGTTTTTTGAAATATCGCTGTGTATAGTGAAGTACCGTGAATTTTAATTAAACTCGCTGTGCATTTTTTCCTATGGAACGCTTCCGTAAGCGTTCAAGCAAACCACTTCTGAAGGTGCAAGCCACTCGTGCTTGCGAAACGTCAAGACGAAATTCTACCAAACGACGGCCTAAAGACCCGAAAATCTCATTAGTTTCAAGAAATGGCCTTGAAAGTTTATCTCTTGATTTTCGAAAAGACGATTTGACGAAAGTCGCTTTTAGGCAAGACAAACTGTAACTCGCAACTTAAACTCTGTTGGGGTAGTTTGGCGACGGCCGTCTCAATCGCAAGGCACTCCCCTATAGCTGTCCTTGTCAGTGCATTTGAGCAGTGCAATAAACAGAGCGCGGAATGTTTAGCGCTCCCTCTGCGTTACTTACAGTCCAAACTATGCCTGTTCTTGTCTGTCACATTGCATTTACGCGCAACAGTTTGGAAAGGGCAATGACAAACTGCCCCAGATTATTCAAGTTTTTTGAGTTTTTTGAAATATCGGTGTGTAGAGTGAAGTACCGTGGATTTTAATTAAACTCGCAGTGCATTTTTTCGTATGGAACGCTACCGTAAGCTTTCAAGCTCTTCTGAAGATGCAAGCCACTCGTGCTTGCGAAACGTCAAGAGGAAATTCTACCAAACGACGGCCTAAAAACCCGAAATCCCCATTAGTTTCAACGTGTTTAATTTATCGGACATTTGTGGACAATGTGGACATTATATCCACAACGTTTTATACTTCTGCAAATTTATAAATAAAATATTTCAAAAAGACGTTAGTTATGAATAAAGTGATTGAAGAAGAATCAAATTGGCCGGTGTTCTATATCGACCACTGAAAATTTCAAGTCAAATACAACAAAAGTCGCTAAACAATAATAAATATCACGCACCAAGAAAATGTAACAAAAATAGAAAAAAAAACAGAAAAACGACACAATTATCACTATTGCAGCAGTTTTTCTTCTACAGACGCGTGCTTTCGTAACCATTTTCTACGTTGTTTTCAGATATTAATTGGCCGCGACTTGGCTCTCTATCTTTGCGCAAATCTCGACTAGCTAAGGAGAATGGAGTCAGCATCATACCGAAGCCCAAACACAAAGACATCCAGCAATGGCTTAAGGATCTGGAACTGGAGGAGTATGAGGCGCTGTTTGGAAAGTATCGAGGCGTGGAGGAGATTTTGGAACTGACCGAAAGTGAGCTGAAGCAACTGGGAGTGAAAAAGTCGTCACATAGAGCGACTATCATCAGCAGCTTGACGCAGCTTCGAGCCAAATATTACGGTAAGAAATTATTCGAAAATTATCAGTTTGTGTCTCTCCAGTCGTGTTGGCATTTCTCGTCGTTTATTGATCTCTTTTTCAACTCCTCGGATGCTGCCATCAACGCTGTATCGTCTGCTTAACTCAGGCTTATAATCCCTCCACCCGCAGTTGAGATTCCTTCATTTTTTCCATCTAATACTAGCCTAATATAAACTTATGTGTTTATATTCACTAACTAATTTTGACTATTGGGCACAAATGCTATTTAAAAACGTTGTTTTTTTCAGATGATCTTACGAAAAAAGTGTCGGTTCGACACAGCGTGGCAGTGGATACATCCAGAAACATCCAAAGAGAGGATACCTTGTAAGTAGCCTGTTAACGCTGATCGAAAGAGTGATTTTAACAAATAATGAACAGACAACCAACACGAGACCAGATAACTTTTGATACAGCGAACATCATCAGGCTCCCCTCATACAAGGGGGTTATTGAGTGGAAGAACTGATTAGGGTCCACTTTCGCTCCCCTTATGCACAATGGCCCGCACGCCTGACGAAATGGCAGTTTTCGATCAACTGCAGGCAGGTCTTCAAAAAATCGCAACTTCCCATCCAAAGGAGGTGGCAAATTGAAAATTGTAGACAATTTAGAGGGCTTTTGACTCGACTGAACCTGAAAGTTTCAGTCAAGTTGCTTTAAAACATAATTTTTGCGCTCCTTGCAAGCACAGATGAAGAAGTGGAAGTTTTCGAACAACTGTATGCTCGTCTTCAGAAATTCTGATCTTCCCATCCACTAGTGCTAGCAACTTTAAACTTACCACGAGTTTACAAACAGGTCAATTCTGCAAGCTCTGAAAATTTCGCTTCAATCACGCTAAAATCTCCTTTTTTCTCGCTTTCTAAGCACAGGTGCAGAAATGGGAGTTTTGCTAACTAAGGGTCATTTTTCAATGGTGTTTTGCTGGGGAGTTTCTTATAAAACGCATACATTTTTATAGAGCAAAGACTTATTGTGCTATACAGAGTGTTTGAGTTACAAAACCGGACGTGGCAAGTTGATCATTAGGGAGATATCGCATTATATTAGGAGCTAAAAGGATGGTTAACTATTGTTAGTGTTAACAGGGTCAGAAACACTTTTTCCAACTGAACTTTTGAAAGTCTTTTATATGAACTTAACGGCCAATAATAGGGTAATACTCTATTCATTTTTCTTGATTTGTCTAGTTGTGTGTCTCTATTCTCTGTTTATATTGTCATTGATCTTAACAACTTCTCGGTGCATTTTCTGCCCTTTCATTGCTTCTTGTCGTTCAAAAGTTTGTTGGTCAAATCCCTTTTTCTTGTAGGGGTCGCTTGTAAATTTGCTGTTATAGTAGAGAAATCGCAATGATAAATTTATTAAAAACACAGTGTCTCTATAAAATATGCGGCCAACTAAGCCTCCATTTAAATAGCAAATTGTGAACGACCGTCCTTGTTTAGGTGCAAACACCCTCAATCGAAAGCTCCTAAACTCATTTCTGCTCTAATAGGGAGCAATTGCTTTTCGCCCTATTATCAGGCCCTTCCGGTGTTGCCAGACCCAGCAAAAACTTGCATAAAGCCCTCATTTCCAGTCGCAACTTGCCCCGATCGTGTAGCCCTAGACGGCTGCGCCCCATTCCCAATCAATACCGAAGGGTGGGAGTGTATGAAACCCCACGCACACGCACTCACGTCTTCAACCCTCCTGAATCGAGCGCGTCCCGCTTACCGAACTTGTGCTGAGAAAAACAACAACAAGAAAACTGATGGTTTGTAGTTTGCTCCTGGATCAATCCAGGTTACATGGCGTCCCGGGACGGTGCCGAGAAAAGCGAAAAATCTAGAACGGTTTCGTGTCCCGGCCATCGGCGGTTGCCGGACGCGAGTTGGGAAAGTGTCCGGCGAATGAGACGCCTGTCCAGTTTTTAGTGGGATCGAACAATTTGAGATTGGCGTGAGGATGTGAGCGGGCGCATAAACAATCGGTTAGCAATGGTGAGTTGAAGGCCTGGACACCCTGGGAAATGAGCAAATTTGAGAGGAGTTTTCCTCCTATTGGAACAGTTCAAACATCAATTGCCTTGAACTTTGGACACGTGGCGGTCACTCATTCGGAACAGAGCCGCACGCTCCATTTACCACCCTCAAATTGCCTCCTCTGTCCCTGACAGTTCAAGGCCCGCAAGGGTTTTGAGCATTGTTAGAGATTTTTTTTCTAAGAATGACAGGGAAAATCCCGTTTTCTCCACCGGCCGTTGTGAAAACAACAGAAACTCTGCACAGAAGAACTTATCAGAAGCACAGCGGCTTATCAGTTCTTTGTTGCAGGACAGACCTGAACATCGTGAGTGAAGCGGTGCAAAGTAAGAGCCTGAACAACCTAATAATGGTGAGTGAAGCTACATTTTTTTATTTTCCCAAAACATAAATCTATAAAGCCCTGAAGCGATGAGGGCTCCCACTATTGGCCCAGTCCAGTAGATCTGCAACAGACAGAATGTTTCAAATTTCCTAATTAATGTTGATGAAAAACTTTGCGATGTATATAAAGAGCTTTAGATCCAAAAGTTTGCAACCAACCGCACTCTTACAGGCCCCTCGATTGCGAACATAAAGAACTACGAATGCACCTGCATCGGGCATTATTTTCGGCTTCTGATGCTTGTTGCTGACTTGTTCGACTTACCCAGTGATTATTCCAGTCCGCACTAAGTACCGCTGGGCCAAAACTTCTGCAGGGGTTCATGCTGGCCCCCGTATAGGCCCCCTAAAACATGATCAGATCGCATTTTTCTGACCTTCCAGTCCAAGGTCGGCTCTACTCACGCCTCCTAGATTGAGCACGGCCACTAGTAGGCCGATTTTCAAAGAAACCGAATCGATTTTATCCGAATTTCTGGCGTCCCAAGAGGCACAAATTGCGAGATTCAGAATGGCGCTCAACAGGACTTCGACTGCCAGCCCCTAGGAGTTTTAATGGCGTCATTTTTCAATGGGTAAAACTGACATTTCTCACCTGCAGCACGGTTATGTCATTGTTGACAGCTGTCACGCAGACACCGTTGCCATCGGCTTGAATGCCTAAGCTGGCATCGTTTGTCACTGCCTGCAAGGAGGAAAATACGTCAAGTTCATTTGTTTTCTTTCACCCGTGAGAAAGAGCAATCACGGCTGAAGATGCAAACCAGTAGTGTTGGCGAAACGTCTGCAAGAAACTTTAGGGACTAATTGAAATTAGTGAGTTTTACTGCTTGTCTGGTACATTCCAAAGGGAAACTTAAGCAGTTTATTTCGGCATATTTTTTAGAAAGTACAGGGGTAAAATTAACGAGTTTATCCGATGTTAACAAAGCAAACAGAGAAGGATTTCCATGTTTAATTGAAAAAAGAAAATATTAATGAAATGGAAGGCTTACCGCAAAAATACCGGCTCCAATCAACGAGCCCACCACTTGAGCACCAATGTAGCTGAACAGAAACTGCCACTTGATTTCCTGGACGATTAGAGCGTTTAGAGTTACAGCTGGGTTTACATGAGCTCCGGAAAGATGCCCGAACGTCTGCAGAATGCTTCATAAATTAGGGGAAAGAAACTGGAAAAACTAGCGACAGAAACTTCTTCTTGTCTGCGTGCACAATACCGCAACAAAGTTTCAAAAATTTACTGATAACGCCTCGAACTTGAAACAGTTATGCAAGTAACGTTGCTCTAAAAAAATTAAAAAACCAATGGTTCCTAGATCGGTCCGTTAAAGAGTTATGAAATGCGGAAGGCAAACGCGCACAATTCCGCTCTGAGAAAAACTCAGAAACATGTCTTGATAAGGCAAAGTTGAAACTTTTGGCAGTTTATACAAGTGACCTTGGATTCAAAAACTGAAAAGCTCAATAGTTTTTAAGTCAGTTGGTTCAAAAGTTATCAACTGCAGAAAACGGACTTGGCTCTAGAAAGCCGACAAACGCGCAAAATTGCAACTTCTTCTGTTCAAAAGTTGAACCAACTTGCACAAAGCCGCTCTAAAAAACCATGAAATTTGGAAAATTCTCAGCAATTCCTTGATAATGGCCCAAAATCGAAACTTTTTGTCATTGATAACAGCGAATTTGCCCCACAAAGTGCAGGAACCCTGAATTATAAATCTTTGTTGGGTCTCGAGAAATCATCAGCTAAATCCCCAACGACAAAGCTTTATCTGTAACAGCTAAAGGCTGAAAAGTGAAAAAAAATTGAAAAACAAGTTAAATTTATTATTATCGTAATTCTTAAGTTTTTATTAATTTAATCTCAAGTTATCAATCAGTCAAACACTAACAAGCAGCTTAATCGCTTTAATAAGGGGCTTTTCACTCATTTCAAGGGCATTCGGCTGGGTTTTTTACTACAGTTACTCACCTGAATGGCTGTAGCAACAGCCAATCCTGCAGTTAAACTGGTATGCATTGAGAATACCTGGTCACCTTGGATACCAAAGCAGGAACCCATACAGGATAGGAACACTATAATAGCGGTACCTAGAAACTCCGCCATTGCTATTTTCAAGTGTTTCCATAGTACTGAAGAAGGTTCTTTTGCTGGAATTACAGTAAAGTCCGCTTATAATGAGCTCGGTTATAGTGAACTTTCGGTTAAAACGAACTTTTTTCCTTTAATTGAAACGTCGTCCATAAAGGCCAACGTATTTTTTACTGGTTATAACTAACCCGTTTATAACGAACTTCCGGATATAACGATCACTTTTTAGGTTAGTTGTATATTCACTTTCCGTTTATAACGAACTTCCACGCTGAACAACACCAATCGTGCGGAGTTGTTTATATTAGTGAGAGCGAGAGACAGGCAGTAACTTGTTTTTTGCCGCGTTATTTATGTAAATCGTTTTAGAATGGAAAAACAAAAACGCAAAGCTTTTTCACTAAATGAAAAGTACGAGATTATTAACAAAATAACAAGTGGAGTAAAGCAGAGTGCCATTTGTAAGGAATTAGCACTTGGAAAGTCTACTGTTGCAACAATACGGAAAAACAAATAAAACATTTTATCAGCGTGTGACAAAACAAATGTTAGATGTAGGAAGTTAAAATTATCTACACATGAAAAGATTGACAAGGAACTTATTAAGTGGTTTACTCAAAAAGGGCAAGAAAACGTCCCCATAAGTGGCAGTGTTTTGCAAGAAAATGCTAGTGAAATGGAGAGTAAAATCAAAAACAAAGAGTTTGCTTGTTCTAAAAGTTGGGAAGAGCGTTTCAAGAAGAGGCATAATAT